GTATAGAGATCATTGATGTCCTCGAACGTTAATTTTCAGTAAAGAAGAAAAAGTCGTTTTTATCTCATTACCCTTCAGAATTGCCAAACCATGTTATAGTATCACCAATTGTAATTACACGTTGCTGTAATGAATAACACAATTAATTTGAAACAAAAAAGTGTTTGACTTACATTTTGGCAGATACAAGGTAAGGGTTGGACACCAATGAAATAAACATGTAGTACATCCTTGTATAATACCGATCAGAATACATCTATAGCCCCGGTTACACGTAATTGTGTCAGATTCCTTGTATGCGAGAACTATCCATTTTATCGAACTGTGTTCTCTGATTACACGTTCTATTCGATCGAGGATATTCCTTGTCGTAAAGCCACCATGCCCCTCTGCAACGACAACGGTGTGCTTGCACTCTGTGTTCTGCTGCTTAGCAAAATATAGAAAAATAGGCTTATTTGGGAAAAAGACTTGCGAAATACTTTCACCCACACAAACGAGGTACGGTGTTAGCCCCCCATTCAATAGGTCCCGCGGTTCGAAACTTGACAGCGCCAGGAAAATGTTCTTCTCTAAAAATCCTCCTTTCTTCACGTCTTTTCCTGTTCTCTAGACACGTTCTGTCATCTGCTGTCATCCCTGCTTTCTTTTCTCGCCAAACCCGTATCCCACCCACCCCCGGCCTTCGGGTTCCTCTCTCCTTTACTCCTGACTCTTTTTACATAATGTCATCCTGTCTCCATCTTACTGCTGCTTTTACTTTCAGTCACACCCCTGATCTTAAGGTAGATAAGATCAAAAACCTAGTCCTCTCGGATAAAGGCACAATTTTCGAAGGTGCCATGTGCAATTTGCGCACGTTAAAAATCCCTTAGTGGTCCTGAAATCGATGAAAAATAAGAGTAGGCTTTGGCCGCCACTAGGGCAAAATTCGCCCTTATCCGAGAAGAATAGGGTGCTTGATCTTATCTTCTTAAGTGGGAGTACACAAAAGTGGCCGATTGCTGTCACCTAACCACTAGGCGCCCTAACTTATAGGAATCCATCTATACAATTTCTACAAGGGCACAGAGACACGGCATTCTCTCTGCGCCGATCTGCGGGATCGGTGGCAGCTTATTTTATAGGAATGAGTCAGGAGCTCAGAGGAAGGGGGACAAGTGTATGTTGGGGTGGGGGGAGGGGCAGAAAAGCGAAATGAAAACAAATTGACATAAAATTATTAGAGAGCAGGAAATGAGGTGAACGAAATACATACTTTACTTATAGAGAAGACAAATTTCAGTGGCTATCAGGTTTCGAGCTAAGGACCTATTGGATAAGAGGTGAACACTGATCACGAAAGCCCCACCTTCCCTGTACATTTAAATAACAAATAGTAGAACAGTGTCTTTTAGAAAGAGGTGGCCATTCTGCACCATGTTGTGTGTGGAAGCTTTGACTTTGACTAAGGTTGACTGAAGATGTGCGAATCACAGGGTGACCTTGATACTTAACTTCACCATTGACAATCAATCAATAAAATAAAATTGCTAAACTTTGCATAGCATCGCATCAAATCAGTTTTGCCGCTAGCCAGTTTGCCTATTTTGAGACACTGATTCAGAATGTGAAACGTTTTTAAGTTGTGATAGTTTTTAAAAAATTTTCTGCCCGAAGTTAATTTCTGCGCGGCGACAAATCTTAAAGTGACTCTACGTCATAGTGCGTCTCCCTGAAATCTGACCGTGATCGCACGAAACATATCTAGCAGCTCGTGATTTCTGGACCAGGTCTCCACACCATCATCCAATTGTCCAAATTTGTACAATGTTTGCGGTGACACCTGACGATATGTTGCATGATCGCTAGATCGTCCAGCTTTTGTACAATTTATAGCTATGTGTTACCTCACTTTTAGCCCAGGTTGGCTACAACAAACAGAATTGATGCAGGCTGCCTCCCATATGATCTAAATTGTGTTGTTCAATTATTACAATTGTATATGGCAACATGTGTTATTACTCAGCGGAATAAGTCAAATCCATAGAATTGAAGGTCATATCATTGACGGCACACTGTCATGGCCCATGCTGTTTCCTTTCTATAAGACATTTCTTCACTGGTGCGCACCATGACATGCAAGAAAAAGGACAAAACATCAGTCTCGCGATAGTCTTTTACTTCTTGCCCTTCATCTACTTTCAAATAGATCAAATTCCAATTCTTTCAAATAGATCAAATTCCAATTTGCGCACAGTCTTGGATAGTATAATGTAAATGGTCTAGCCTGAACTCTT